ATGAAGGCTAAGGAGTGGGGAGAGAGAAATAACCCTCCAGGATTCTGGAGAATGATTTTTCTTTGATAAATTATGTTTGATTTCCTAGCTAATTTGGTCTCTGCACATTATAAAATTATGGATATGATACAGTTATAATAGAGTAACATGTTTTTCCTAGCATAAACTTATGATTTGAAAACCATGTGAATGAAATATATTTTAACTTTATATAGTTATTTTACAGTGTTTGTTAAGTTTTTGTGGAATCATCCCTGCATTCATGATCACAACTGGTATTTCTTCAGTGCATCCAAGGCAATATATTTGTGTCAAATTCTTTTCTTTATCTCATTTATAATTTATATGTGTGTGGGATTGGGATACAAATTCATTAGAACCGCCACAGTATTTCTAGTACTGTGACCACAAGCTGATGTTAAGTGAAATGTTTGCTTTGAGACAAGTCATAGTAGCTAAATAAGTGGAACATGCCTGAACTATATGATTTTTGGATTGCCCTCGTTTTGCATTCTTGTTAACGATTTTATATTTAACTAAGATTAGATAATTCCTTTTTAGGGGAATGTATAATCATGAATTGGTTCCTAAAACTTTTGGACGTATTTGGACATACAAAATAGTATTCTCACACATTATTGTATGAATTGTTATATTTTCTGCCATATTGTACATGAACCTTTGGTATTTTTCTCAAAGAATAGTCTAATAAGTCTTTAGCATTACTGAAGGGAATTTTCGATGCCGTATGGTGTAGAGAACAGAGGAGCATTTAAAAAATCACCAAAACAAGTTAACAATTTGTGCTTTAACTTTTAAACTAATGTATACAGTACCAAATGTGTGTATTAGTTCATTTTATTGCATGTGTACTGACCTTTATGTGGTTTATTATGTGATAGAATTATATGGCTAGGGCTGAATTCCAGAAATTATATTTCATTAACATCTCTTTAAGTTTAAATTCGTCATGTAAATGAAAAGAGTATTGTAGAGACCAAAAACCTGGATTTCATTAGACCTTTCTGAGCATTAGTTTCCTTTCTGAGGTTATTCATGACTTCACAGTATTAAAGATTAAATAAATGATTTGAAATATTTATAGTGATTCCATAGCTATGCAGAATATAGACTTCAGCTAGTTAAAACTTGCTTACCCTAGCTTACACATTTCCTTAAGCTTAAATGCTTGCCTTATAATTATCATATACAAGTTTAGAGCTACTCAACAGCTACGTAGGATTCTTCTTAACTATTACTTTCTGTATAAATGAAATAAGTATGAAATGTGCTATTTCCAAAAGTTTTCAACTGACAACATCATTCAACAAGTGGACAATTAAAAGGGAATCGCTTTCCTCACTGCCTGACAGTGTACTTGATAGAAATACTATGTTTCCCACTGCTTTCCTGACCTTGAAAATTACTTACATTTTTTACATGTAAAGTATTTATATATATATATATATATATATTTTTTTTTTTGCGGTATGCGGGCCTCTCACTGTTGTGGCCTCTCCCGTTGCGGAGCACAGGCTCCAGACGCGCAGGCTCAGCGGCCATGGCTCACGGGCCCAGCCGCTCCCCGGCATATGGGATCTTCCTGGACCGGGGCACGAACCCGTGTCCGCTGCATCGGCAGGCGGACTCTCAACCACTGCACCACCAGTGTATGTTTTATTTGTTAAGAATACTGGTTAATCATGCTAAGCTTTCACATTTTTCCTAAATAATAAGATACCGCAAATGAAAAAACAATGTAGAAAAAACCTTACCTTTTGCGTTTATTGTGCATATTCATAATTATGAGAATGCATGTCATAAATAAATAGTCCAGTTCCATTTTACAGCTAGGGTTTTTAAATTTTCATCTAGTCAAATGAAAAATAATTAATAGAAAATGGGAAACTTCTGTAATTTTTGTGTTCTTCATGAATAATGGGCATTTGGTATAGTAGCTCAGTAGTAAATTATGAAAAGAAGCAAATTGTTAAATAATATCATATAATGGGTCAAAATTATTCATATAGTTACCAGTATAAGGATCAAGCATGTGGGTTCTTATTAATATACTATTAGCCTGGTCACACAATGAAAGAGAATGAAAGGGCAATTTTGAATGACATTTTTATCAACTTTGGAACTGTCAACCTCTATTATGTCCTTGGGGCTTTGCACTTTTTGGCTTTCAGACTTCTGTGCTGCCTCGAATACAGGAGAATATTAAGATTTCCCGTGGGTCTCTCGCTCTAATCAGTGCTTTCGGTAGTCATTTTTTAGTATGCGCATGTAATAGTTCTTTTTCTTTTTTTTTTTTTTTGCGTTACGTGGGCCTCTCACTGTTGTGGCCTCTCCCGTTGCGGAGCACAGGCTCCGGACGCACAGGCTCAGCAGCCATGGCTCATGGGCCCAGCCGCTCCGCGGCATGTGGGATCTTCCCGGACTGGGGCACGAACCCATGTCCCCTGCATCGGCAGGCGGACTCAACCGCATGTAATAGTTCTTAATGCTTAAAGCTAAGCGTATGACATTTCACCCCATCAGCACCCACGTCTGCATCATCTTCATGGACACCACCTCTCCTCCAGTACACACACTCGCACTCGATTTCCTCTGTACTCATAAATCTCTGTTGCAACTCTGGGAATATGTTCCTTTCTTTCTGCACAGTCAAGTGGAACAGCGACCTGTAATTTCTCCAAGTATCCCCTCAAGACTTTTCTAAGAGTTTTGATGCTGTCAATAGACGTTTTCAGGCTATCATGACAAAAGCCTGTAGTTTCATATAGAAAGTACTAAGCAGGTACAACTTTCATAAGGGAAAAAGTGCCTAGAATATTTACAGTTGCATAGTAAATAGTTGATAAAGCTCTGATATGACAGGATATTTAGGCTGAATAAGGGGGAGAAAATCTGAATTCTAATCCTTATCGGCCCACTGAATCTCAGTAGCATTTTGTTTATTATGCATATACCTTTTCATTTATTATTATTAGCATATGATATGTTCTGATAAAATTTTAAAGATTGAGATAACATTACATATTTTTAATGTTACCTCCTTATATTAAGGAAGATTTTTAAAGGGTTTTGAAGCCTAGTAAATAAAAATTTTTAGTAATCTCCCTTTATACTATATAAGGCATTGTCTCTGAAATGTTAGTATGCATCAGAATCACCTGGGAATGCTTGTTAAAACGCAGGTTGCTGGAACCTACCTCCAAAGTTTCTAAGATTGAGAATTTGCTTTTCTAACAAATTCCCAGGTGGTGCTGATGGTACCAGTTCAAGGATCGCATTTTGAGAAGCTCTCATCCATACTGGAGTATAGGAAGAAAAGACAATATTCCTGGGGATCTGCCATCATATATAAGGATTATGGCTGACTAGCTCAACTAAATGTTGAAAGATCTGGAAGTGATTTTTGCCCTGTAGTTTTTAAAATGCTTAGTTCAAAATTGTATATTGAGCCAGTCATGGAATTATTTTACTTCCTTCCAAGATTCTGTGAATTCATATAAATTTGATATCATGGTCAGTAATTTATTATGCATCTAACATGATCCCGGATTGCCATTTGAATTACCTCATGGGTTTTCAAGTAATTGTTATTTTCTCTGAGACAGAAAATAGAATTGAAAAAAAATGTTCAAGTGTAATTTTCCCTGGCCTGTTCATAGGTTTCCTAAGTGAAGCTAACCATGGAATCAAATAACAATAAATCATTTTTTAAAATATAAATTTGAAATATCATATTATATACCATTTTTTACCACTTTTGTAAAGTGATTTATTTCAACGCTTTGGGGTAAATATATACCTCAAATTTTATACACATTAATTAATATGTTTCCATGTCACCACATCACACCATTTGATTCTAAATTGTTCCACTTTCAACAAGTAATCCTGCTATTACTGATAGATATTTTATGTTAACTCCTGAAGATGAACCTAAGTGGATACTAAATTTTTGTTCTCCAATAATACCTTTGTAAAATTGGATATAAGGTAAACAATAAAGTACAAATGACACAATATTCCAATTTTAGAGCACAAGAAAAGAATAACTCTCTTTGCAGTGAAAGAAAAGTAATATAATGTTAAGATTATCTGATCTTATGTATTGTGATAGACATTTTAGTGATAATTGTATCCATAAATTTTACATATGAACTTACATAAGGGCTAGTGGAGAAAGGTATAAAATAGAATGTAAACTATGTAAACTTGACCTATTCGAGCCTAGAAAAATTGGAAATTGCCATACATGCTGAGCTGACCACATGCAGCTCTTCATGCTACCATGTAGTGCACTGTAAGGAAAATTTGGAAAACAAATCTGGATTTTTAAAAATGTAATGTTAAGTGTTTAGAACAGTGTTGCATATAAATAAATAGTATATATTAATATAATGCTAATTATGTTTATTTTTAGATGAAACCCTAAAGTGTTTCTGTGAAACCTAGGAGAAAAGATTATTTTCTAAGAAAGTTAGAAAGTTTTCTTCTTTTTTGTATTTAATTTGGAGGACAGTTCTAATCAGAGGTACACACCATTTAGCTCCTCCATGATGGGATGTTCTGGGTACTCTAAGCACCAGGGTCCAAAGATGCTTGGGACTCAACACCTATTCTTTGGAGATTGAAAAAAAAAAAATCTACATCATAGTTTCATGCGAATTATGCATTGTCTCTCAATAAAAATGAATAGTACAAATATTATCTTCTTTAAGAATATTTCTTACAGGTGTCATCAGTTATATGCTTTCTGGATAGTTGAGTGCACATGTACTTTCTCTTATACCAAAGGTTTTTTTATGATATGTAGTTGAAAGTGCCGTTGTTGACAGCTAACCAAACACTGTAATGTTCAGACTGAATGTTAAGATCACTGGTAGAGTATTTGATGGGAAATGACAGGCAGTATACCTGTGTTTTTCTAGGCATTTTTAATCAGACTTTCCTTATCACAGCTCATGTTCTAATGATCATTGCAGGATGAAGTGGCACAGCCACTGAACCTATCAGCTAAACCCAAGACCTCTGATGGCAAATCACCCACATCACCCACCTCTCCCCATATGCCAGCTCTGAGAATAAACAGTGGGGCAGGCCCCCTCAAAGCCTCTGTCCCAGCATCATTAGCTAGTCCTTCAGCCAGAGTTAGCACAATAGGTAAGTTCTGTTTCTTTTGTTCTTGCTGATTTTCTGTTTATGGCATTTGAATGAAAGCATCTTTTAATGGCAAATCACTCATACCCTCTGCATGGCTTTAGTTCCATAGGAGAGTTTCAATATGATGAACCTCATAGGTCTGTTTTAAACATGCAATTGAAATTTATAACTGAAGTCCGAGTTATAATGTCCCCCTGAGAATCTAATTGAACTGGTTACATTTGTTGATATAACTGATGTTCTTAAGTTTATGAAAAAGAGGCCTGACTAATCACAGAGAGCAATGGTTCCAGATTGTTGTTGTTAGGTGACTCGCCTTTTCAGTCATTTAAATTTATTTCCATTTTGTGTGATGTGTACAAAGTATACATAATGATGAAATACATTCTGCCTGGATCAGCAGTCAGTCAACCATCAGGATGTCAATTTTTTCTCAGTTCCGAGTTGCTTGAAACTTAACTTGTACACACCAAAGTATTACAAAAAGTCGGTCTCTTTGCTTCTCCATAGTTGTCATTTTAGTAGAGTAAGCAAACACTAGAAAATGCTTGTATAAGCTAACTTTTAAGAAATTCCAGTAGTTTTAGTTTAGTAACACGTAAATTAGACTGTAAATGTTGGGTTGGCCAAACAGTTCGTTTGGGATCTTCATAACATCGTACAGCAAACCCGAACGAACTTTTTGGCCACCCCAGTGCTTACTTCAACCCACATTTATTGAGCTTATTATTTTCGTACAGTTTTATGAGGAAGCTAGCACAGACCAGCTAGCACAAACCCCGGCTAGGGCTTAGTTGGGGGGAAGTCATGTATCTTAATAGTACAAAGCACCTATTGTGAGTGCTATTCCAGAGCACAGATAACAATGCTAGAGTCAAGAAGAGGAGAGTATTAGATTCTATTTGGGAAGGTTGAAGGATAGGCTGATTCAAATGGAGCCTTGAAGAAGAGATGCATCCCTAGGCATTTTAGGCTGTAAAACAGAACCCAGAGTAAAATATCATCTTTTTGAGAAATGCACTGATTTGGCTAATGAGTGTAGTGGAAAGTGATCAGAGTTAAAACTGGAAGAGGTAGATGGAATCTGATTTGATGCTATCCTAAGACATTTTTGACTTTTTCTCCAGACACCCATCTGATTGGAACTTTAAGAAGAGTAGTGACAGCAGAAAGGGACTGGAATCAGGGAAGTCATTGTTTTAGCATAGGCCAAGAGTAAGTTACACGAAATAGAAATAAGCAATGATAAAACAAAGGAGAGAATAGATTGAAGAGGTATCATTAAAGAAGAATTGAGGTAACTTATCCACAGTGGAACGTACCGGGTGAGGTTCAAGCTGGAGACATAAGAGTCTGGGATTTTGAATTTATAAAATAGACAGAATAGTGCCTCCCTGAACTGTGAAAGAGAAGACCAGAGTGGAAGCAGGTTTGGGGGAAGACGTAAACATAAAAATTCAGTATGTGTTGAATTTGAAACTTAAGAAGCCATTTAGATAGAGAAGTTCAGGAGGACATTGTCAATGCAAATCTGATATGTGAAAGAGGTGCCAGAATTTTAGACATGGAAATTATTCCGTAATGAGGTTCTGGAAGCCATCAGAGCAAATAAGAATATAAGAAGCATATGGTAAGAAATGAAGTGGGGTAAAGAATCACAGGTATTACCTGCTGTATTAGTTATCTCTTACTGTGTAACTAACTAACTTAAATCTCACCAGCTTAAAACAGCCAACATTTATTATCTCATAGCTTCTAAGGGTCAGGTTCTGGAAGCAGCTTAGCTGGGTGGTCCTGGCTTAGGGTCTCTCTTACGGTTCCAGTCAAGATGGAAGCCAGGGCCTAGGACTTTACTGGAGATAGACAGTCCTTTTCCAAGATGACTTACTCGCATGGCTGTTGGCTGAAGACCTCAGTTCTTTGCTACGTGGGTCTTTCCATAGAGCTGCTCATAGCATGACAGCTTACTTTCCCCAGAGTGAGTGGTCCAGGAGGGAGAGCAGAGAGAAAGCCATGCTGCCTTTTACGATCTGGTCTCCAAAGTCACACACAGTCAGCTCTACTTTATTCTTTTCATTATAAGAGAATCACTAAGTCCAGCCCAACTCAAAGAAAGGGGAATTAGGCTCCAACTCTGAAGGAAGGAATATCAAAGTATCTTTGAACATATTTTTAAAGCACCACGCTTTTGTTAGGGGGAAAGCTGATGAAGAACAATTGAGGATCTTAGAATAAGAATGAAGATAAGACAATGGCCTGTTTACCTAGGACACATTAAAGTTTGAAAAAGGAGGGGTTATTCAATGGTGTCATCTTCCGTAGAAAAGTTAAAGAACGTGAAGAAGAAACGCCTTAGGATTTAGCTGGAGGTTGTGGCCATGTCGACTGTAACAGAGATTTTGTAGAATGGTTTAGCAGAACATCAGTTAGAAGGATTTGAAGAACACGAGGACAGAAAGTGCAGCTGATATATGGGTCGGTCTTTTTGTAACCTTGGGGTTGAGAAGGGATCGTATTTTGAGAAGGCTGAGTAGAGGCAGGTTTTAGAATAGGAAATCATGTGTATATATATATAAACAAAGGTGAGTTGGAGAGATCTATAGATATGAAAGAGTGCATGGGTGATGACAGAGCAAGAAGAAATGAGAGAGGATTACCTTTGGAAAGAAGAAATGCCGCCTCTTTTCTCTAAGACTGAAGGAAATGAGGAAAAAAGAGGTAAAGTTACAGAGAAATTGTGGGATGGACAGAAGGAAAGCTGAAGGAGTGTATTTCAAATGCTTCTATCTCTACAACGTTAAATTCCAGATTATTTGCAAAGGGGAAGTCAGTCTGGACCAGTGGGGCAGCAGTGAGAAAAGCAACAGCGAAACCTGAGGTTTTGAGAAGTTTGAAAATGGTTTGGGGCATGTGTGTTCTTTTTATCGTGTGCACCATTCTGTTATGATCTCTCTGTTAACTCTGCTCAACGTCCTAAATGGACACCAAGATAAGATTTGTTTTCATGTCCGAAGAACGTGAAAGATATTTTATTTGGCAAGAATGATTCACTTGCCTAATAGACACGAAAGCTCATAAATATCACAGTGTTGGCATATGAGCTACTTTTGTAATATCCCCAGAACTGGAATATTTAACTAAGGGAATAACTAATATATTTGCATTTTTTGTCACGTGAGGATTTTTTTTACTTCAGCATTCCAAGGATTCAATATGACAAAATATTTTAGAAGGACAAGAATGTATTTAATGACATTTATCATCTGACTTTTTCCACTACTAAAACTTCTCTTATTTTTTTTTTCCCTGAAATGTCCCTCCGCCACATACACATCCCGCATATTTTCCAAGGATTTGATGCCACTACAATTTACTTTTCTCTTTTCAACAAATTCAGATGTTGAAAGCTGAAACTGTAATGAGTAATAAGGTAGTTGGATAAAAGCTGTGAGCATTAGTGGTGTTGTAAAGGTCACCCCTGAAAGAAGAATTAATGTGTTATGCCATTAATAATCCATGGAAAACCGTGAACCAAAAGATAACTTAAGTTATCGTTAATGACATGCGGCTCTTTGCTATATATCTATTAGCTACAAATAAAGAAAGTGAGTTTTTGAGGTTGGTGAGCAATATTACAATGTATTCTATAAGAATGCTTTTGTATGGTATGCAATTGATAGGCAGCTCCAAAGAAAGCTCCTTAAAAAGCATGAATAGTTCAGAAGAATGATGGGTAATTTTAGAATCTTTTGACCAGATGTTATCTTTCCCTTATTGGCCTTTTCAACCTATGCTGTGCATATATATAACACTCTAAACTTTTATCAGAGCATTTTTAGTCTATTTTTTCACTGCAGCTTATTTTAGAATCGTAGACCTTTAACTAGACAGAGCAAATATACCTGTCATCTAGTCAGAAATTGTTATTTTCCAGGTAAGGAACTGAGGCCTAGAGAAGCTAAGTACTTTGTTCTCCAAGAAGAGTTATTTGGAATAGTATAAAAGTTAGGTGAGGGATGAGAGGGACTTCATTCCTAAATTGAAGTGAACCCCGTGCACTTCAGTTTCATCTCTTGCAATGGAATAGTCCTCCCGAGGCCGAGGGCCTAGCATCTGCACCTGAGATGTCTCAAGAACTCCTGATGCCATTGCTGTTTAGCTTAATGCTATACTATTGACACTTGGTTTGTGTGCTTTGAATTTAAGTGAACTGGGTATATCTTGTGTCCTATGAATCTTCTTTCTGATTCCCAGCCCAGGACAGATTGAAATTGAGTCAGCAGTTGTGTAACACCCAGGGCTTGTATTTAACAAAATTTTTTTTTTTTTTTTTTTTTGCGGAACGCGGGCCTCTCACTGTTGTGGCCTCTCCCGTTGCGGAGCACAGGCTCCGGATGCGCAGGCTCAGCGGCCATGGCTCACGGGCCCAGCCGCTCCGCGGTATGTGGGATCTTCCCGGACTGGGGCCCGAACCCGTGTCCCCCACATCGGCAGGCGGACTCTCAACCACTGCGCCACCAGGGAAGCCCTAACAAAATATTTTTTTAAATATGTATTTTCTTATGGAAAGAAAGTCCATGTATAATTGTGGGCTATTTTTCCAATTAAAAATAATCCCAAGGGTGAAAAGAAAAAAAAAAAAGAAGTTAAGTGCTTACCCAGGGATTCTAAGTCCCTGTCCCAATGTAGACAGTCCTGTGGTTATTACCTCTATTTTAATTTTAAGAAAACAAGTGTACATGATCACCTAGTAACTTGCTCAAACTCACAGCCAGTGGAGGTTGAGGACTTACAGTCATAGTCTCTGGGTTGCTTGCTTGCTTTTTAGTTGTTGCCTATTGGCAGCCTCTCTGCCTTAGACGTTCTTCTCAGTCATCTATTTATCCTTTCCCTCATTCATCCCATAAATGAGTATTGAATATCTTCTCTATGCCATACATTTTGCTAAGTCTGGAGGATAAGCAGATGAAAGTCTAGGACTGAGGCTTTAGATACCTGCA